ATCCACTTCTGTCCCTGGGATATCTACAGTCTAACAGTAACTGTGAGAACTCCCTTTTCTGGATAGTAAGAGCATGCCTGTTACAACCACTATTCTGGTTTTATTGCTGTTTTGTTTGCGGTCCTCCAAGCCTTCCTGTGGTCAAAATAGCATGTGTTAATGTTGAGATATATAATTATAGCCACCTGCCAAGCAGCTTGGTCCAGGAAACATCAGGGTAATCTTTAGCTAAAGGGGGTTTTTATTTTATATGTATATGTTACATATACTTGTCTATGTGGTATATGCATGTTTGTGTGTAGCTATACATGCATGTGTGTCTGTGTAGGCCAGAAGTTGACATTAGGTGCCTTCCTTGATTGCCCTCCACTTTAGTTTTTAAGACTAGGTCTCTCGGTGAACCTGGAGCTCACCAATTTAGCTAGGCTGGCCACTGAACTCCAGCCTCCACCCTCCCAGTACTAGGATTATAGACATGAGCACCACACCCAGCTTTTTACATGAGTGCTGGGATTCAAACTCAGATCCTCATGCTTACTGACAGGCACTACTGAATGGGCAGTCTCTCCAGCCCCATGACTGGGGACTTTGTATCTCATGTCCTAAGTTAACATTAAAAAAAAAAAAAAAAAAAAACAGGAATAACATTTCTCTGAAATTTCTTCTCCAAGGCCATCCTACACGGAACTTTAGCTGACTGCTCACCCCTAAGCTACTCCTTGACATCTCAGACTCCACCTCCTTCACTCCTGAAGCCTGTGCCAGATGAGACTCCTAAGCTGAGTCATTTTAAAGGAGGTCCTTGCAGAAAGGCCTGTACCTACTTCTAAGAAACTAAAAGGTCTCTATCCCCTTGCAAACCAGATACTCCCAATGTACTCAGGGTATCAGGAAAAAGAAGATTCTGAGTCCATTCCTCATGCAAAAGATTCCTCCTTGTTCTGCTGCTGACTGCCCTCAATGCATCCCGGGTTTACAGAGGTAAAGAACACTCAAGTGACCAATGTCCCGAGGCTGGGGCTTCCTTGGGAAGTTCCTGTTTTCTACACTAGCCTCCAATTTGAAATGACTGAGCTGCCATTTCCTGCGTTACCCAGTGAGACTTCTGGGGTGGTTGCTGGTGACAAGTGTAAGACCTTATCCTGAGAGACTGATAGGAGTCCAGTGAAGCAGTGGGAATAGGTGAGAGAAACAGCCAAGGCTGGAGATGTAATTGGTGACCTTGGAAGTATGAAGCCCGCTGTTACACCCAACCCTTGAACTCATTAGTGAGGCGCCTCTGGCAGCCGCATTCACAGACAGGTATGAACTTGACATCTGTCCCGGGCAAGACCACATCAACTCATTGAAGATTCCAAGCAGGCTTGGCCCTGTGAACTTTGTTCTTACATGAGCCATTTAATTATTTTGTGAGTTTTTATAATTCTTTGAAAAAAATCTGGCCCCAGAAGTACAGTATCCAACACTTTTTCAGGTTACAATATTTTTATGAACTGCAAGAAACTAATAGTGCTTTAAAGAAACCACAGAAAACAGAGTCAGCATTTACAATATGATCTCAGTTTCCCAAGGTGGATAAGTTCTGAAGGAATTTGCTTTAGGGTATAACTTGGCATCTTCCTGAACCCCTCTTTGTCCACAGCTCATTTCATAGATTTTTACAAATGATTCCTCATAACCTCCACATTTAGCATCTGGGAATTTTAGAAATTAAAAAAAAAATAACCCTTGGTGATGGAGAAATGACTCAGCAGTTAGGAACACTGGCTGCTCTTGCAGCGGACCAAGATTTGGTTCCTAGCATCCACATGGAGTCTAACAACCATCTGTAACTCCAGTTCCAGGGGATCTGATGCCTTCTTCTGACCTCCACAGACATTGTCTGGCATGAGTGCACTTACATGCATGCAGATATACAATAAAAATAATAAATAAAACATTTTTAAATATCCTAATGGCAAGTGGTCTCCAAGATTGTCAATGTTCCCAGTTTTCAGAGAATTCAAAGTTCTCAGAGAATCAGTGAACTCAGGAGTTTTAGAAGCCCCAGTTTACAGATTCTGATAAACTATACTGTATGTTAAAGGGAAAGGAAAACAAGAGAACAGGTGCCAGAAAATGCTTTGTTCTCAGAAGGGAACCAGACATAGACTTCCTTCACTCTTTTGGTTTTTACTCAAGGTCTGTTTTCTGCTCTGTTTCCTGCAACTGCCCATGGCCCTATGTTAGAGACCAGGAAAGTATATGCAGGCTTAACAGGGTGCAAAAATCATTGAAATCTTTAGAAAGAAAACAGTCTCCCCCTGTGTGCAAGAGTGTGGACATAGGTGCTTGTGTGTGTGTGTGTGTGTGTGTGTGTGTGTGTGTGTGTGTACAGGTGCACGTGTATGTGCAAGTGTGTACATATATGTGTGACGAACAGAGGTCAATTTCAGGTATTGTTCCTCAGTCACTACCCACTTAATTTATTTTGAAACAAGTTCTTTCACTGAACCTGAAACTCATCAATTCAGGTAGGCTGGCTGGCCAGTGAGCCCCAAGGATCCTCCTATCTCCGCTTCCCCAGTGCTGGAATCACAAGGGCATGCTAAGACACTCAGCTGTTTTATGTGGGAAGAAGAATGGGAGGGAGGCAGGCAGGGGAAGAGGGCAGGAGGGATTCCTAATAATACTTTCTCATGTAAACCGCTTGTCTTCCCTCCTAATGATCACTCTGTGACCATGGAGCCCCCTTAATTGAGGTGAAAATAAAGTAAGATGATGAATTCTCTGTAAGGATAAATGGAAGTAAAACTGGCCAGATGGACTCCCTGAAATGAATGAGGTGAACGCTCTGTCCTTCTGACCCTAGAAAAGTAAAGCACCTCTCAGACTCAGGTCATAGGAGCCAGCGATCCTGCAGCCCATGACTAAGCCCAGATCCCGTGACATATTAGATGAACTCAGGCTGTCATATGGAAAATGGCAGCTGTCTACCCCTCCAGAGTATCCTAGTACTTCCAAAACAAAGTACCAAATTAACCAGTCCCTAGAAGATCCACCTTCTTTTTGCTTTTACAAACAGTATTAGAATTTTCAGAATGCTTCAACTCACAACAAAGAAGTTTAAGGAGGAGTATAGTGAAATGGCATGTTCTGGATTTTGGGTACTAACTGGTGAGATCAAATGAGATTGTATATGAAAGACACAGTTCAGTCATCTATCGCTCAGATATCTGCTAATATGCAGCACTTTGCCCATGTTATCATTTACTATCTCCTTCCTTTTCTGTCTCACAATGTGCTAGGTGTCAGTGTAATTCCAGAGTCTATGTGGAAACACACAAGGAACCTGAGCCAGACCACTGAGGTTACAGGCATTTGTGTGGGAATCCCCACTCTCAGTGGTCAGAAGTAACAACATCAAAAGCCATTGTTCCATAAAACCAAAGACATGGTAACTGGTGGGCTTTTGATGCAAAGATTATGTCACCACATTCAACACAGCACAGAGTTATACCTCTTATTCATTACTAGACTTAGAAAACTAACAGATGAAACTAAGGAAGTTTCATTAGGAGACCTTATTTTATGAACAGAGACTTTCTGTATGGCAACCAGATCATGGTCTCTGGCTCACTAGCTTGTATAAACCACCTCTCCATCTTAGAAATTAACTTTGAAATTATTTTTTCAGAAATTTTCTACAAAAAGTTTTCTGAAAATGAGACAATTTACTGAGTGTGTCACATGGATGATACAATCAGCTTAATTTGTAGAAAATACTGGAATGTCTGGGAGAAATAAGAACATCAAAAGGGCAGGCCTCGGGAGTTGACTTAGTCATTAAATGCTTGCCACACAAGCATAAGAACCTGAGTTCGATCCCCCAAAACCCGGGTAAAAAATCCAGATGTGGAGACATGTGTCTCTTACCCTAGCGATGGGGAAGTGGAGACAGGAGGATCCCTGGGGCTCATTGGCCAGTCAGCTCTGACTGGATGAGCTATAGTTTCAGTGACAGAACAGAACCTGTGTAGAATGATTGAGGAAGACACAAGACCTTCACCTCTGGCCTACAGACACATACGCGCACACGTACATGCATGCACACACACATACACACAAGCATTCACATGTGTGCACACACACAGAGGAGCATATATTCACAGGTATACACACAAAAAACAAAAAAGATTTGGATGAGTTTGTATAAAATGAGAATGGAAGACAGAGTGGCTCTACCCACTTCCCAGTGAGGATTTCAGCTGCATGCCTATCACGTGATTAGTGATGCTATGATGTCTAAGGTACCCTCTAAAATGACCTGTCCTCACTGTCCAGTTGAGAGGCTGGGGAATGATTCAGCTGCTGAATGGTGATAATTCATGCAAGATATATACTGTCACCTTTGTCAGGCTATCACTTCCGTTTGTTATGTGTCTCATTACTCACTTTATTTCAGTTAATAAATTTCACCTAATTGAAGTTGCATGAGTCCCAGACTGAAATAAGGATAATCAAAAATAATTGTTGGTCTCTAATGATCTTTCTCTAGAGACCAGTGTGCATGCAACTATTGCTGTAGACTGGCCTTCTTACCTCATTACTTGAAGGAGATAATTTCATGTTCAATTAAAGGCCTGCTTCATGCACATCACTGGACTTCCAAATGTGTACCATTTTTCTTTTTTGTAATTGTATTTATTATTATTGTATATATGCGTATTTGGGGGAGCGGATTGTGCCACAATGCGTGGAATGTGTGGGGATCAGAGGACAACTCTGGAGTCAGTTCTCTCCTTCCACCTTTACACAGGTTCTAGGGATGGAATGCAGGTCACCAAGCTTTCAAGGCAAGCTCCTCTACCCACTAAGCCACCTCCCTGGTCCTGTATCACTCTTCTTGGGAGCTCTTCCTCTGGATGCCTTCTTCCCACCAAATCACATCCAAATACCAACCATCTTTTTCTCCTTTTCTGTCATCCTTCTCTAATTCTTTCTGTGTTTCTTTCTGTTAGAATCAAACTGCCAGATGAGAACGCTGGACAGTGGGATTGGAACTTTTCCCCTTCCTGACTCAGGAACCCGCTCAACAGGACGGTACATATGCCAGTCAGAATCCCCAGAGGACACTGAGCCCCTCCTGCCTCTTCAGCCAGCCCCTTCCACAGCATCTTCTGCCAGAGCCCAAACCCTTGAACGTGAAGTGCCTTCCTCTGCAGACAACCAGTGCTCCTCAGAGTCCAGCATCATTCATTCCATATCCGACCCTGGCATGATGACCAGAGGGATGCAAGCTCCTCAGAGCCTCCTTCCCAAGCCCACTTCCTCAGGTAAGATACCAGCCATCTTCAGATAAAATTATTCCTACAATAATTACATGTTTGCTAATGAACATGGAAATCTTCCCAGCAGGAGACAAGTCAGTGACCTCTGCCCAATGGAAATGTAGATTTATGAAAATCCCTTTATGGCCTCAAACAAAAAATAAAATAGCATACATAAGACATTATGGGGGGGCTGAGAATATGGCTCAGTGAGTAAAATGCTTACCTTGTAAACATGAGGACATGAGTCTGATTCCCAAAACTCAGATTAAAAAAAAAGCCAGGTGTGATAACATATGCCTGTAATCCCAGTGCTAGTCAGAGGCCAATCTCTGGAGTTCACTGGCAATGCATTCTAGTCAAATCAGTGACTTTCAAGTCAGTGAGAGACTGTCTCAAAATACAAGGAGCATGTTTCCTGAAGAATAACACCCAAAGTGGATCTCTGGCCTCCACACAGCACAAATGTGCATGTACACCCCAACATACACAAACATGTACACTAATACACATGCACACATACATTAATTAACAAAAGGAAGTTATCAACTCTTACTGTCACATGAAGGCATGAACATTCATAAAAGGAAAAAAATGAGCGTATAACATATATTCATGGGATTTTTTTTAACTTAATATTTTTTTATTTATTTTTTTAATTTCATACAGAAAAATTCATTTTCAATGCAACTGACATTAAGATGTTTGCACAGGCATTTCTAATTTCTATATATTTGATTATTACTAGTGACAGTCGTTTACTTTCTGAGCTCCTTGGCATCTGAGCATGGATATAAAGTCATCAGGTAGATTTCAATGGTAATGTTTTTCACATCTACTAATTATTAAGGAGCAAATTTTTATGCTTTGAAGAATTTTTTTTTATATACCCACTTCCCAGGTAGCACCCTCCCATAGCCTCCCTCCCCCAACTAGAGCCCTTATAGTCTGATATCCCTGCTATTCATGGGATTTTTATCCTACAAAACTTCATACAGATATATTGAATATAGAAGTTGAAGTGATGACTCAGCAGTTAAGAGTTTGTACTGTTCTTGCAGAGGAACTGAGTTCAGTTCCCAGCACCCACATCAGATAGGGGCTCCAGCTCCATGGAATCCAGCACCCTCTTCTGGCCTACATGGGCACTGCACTCACATGCACATACACACAGACAAACAACAGTGAATACACATAATTTAAAAAAAAACTTTTAAGAAAAATGATATTTTGAATATGGAACATTTAGCCCCAACATATAAATGTACCTGGAATGTTATTTGTTCTTTACCCAGAAACTGTAAGTTTTCTGACATAGTTCTGCCTTATTGATGTACATGTATGCTATTGTACTATAAAGACTTAGCTTGGTTCATACACCACAGATGGTGCATTAACTGCCATGAAAAGCAGCATATCATCCCTTGGAGACCATCTAACAATCAGTGGAAGGAAGCTTTATGATTAAAGTCAAGGCCGGGCTAAGGGTCACAGTTTTTTTTTACATTTTCCCATCAAGATTAAAAATATTTATTGCAGGCTAGGATGACAATAATTCTCAAGGCATACAACTTCTGTGGCTCTGACAACATGCATATAAGCACATGAATAAAAACTTTGAGCCAAATGTTTTCAGTTTGGGTTAGACAACTGGAAAAGCTCTGCAAGTTAACATTATACTATAGGTTTCTGAGATTTGGAAGAGAAGACTCTTAATTACATATCTTTGACTGGATGTGTTAGACTATTCCCATGGCTAGGTTCTTCACATGGTAACAGCAGTGGCCACAGGGGTTTCATCAAAACTCCTGCTGCTTCCAAGCCAAGGTTACATTTTTAAAGGCTGTAATGCATATTATTTTTGAAATAAGTGCATTGTTAATTAATGGCACAGCCTCTAGAGCTTCAGGGGCGAAATTTTAGTTATAGATTATGTGCTCTATGGCTGAATAGTTGCATGTGTGACCTCAATTCAGCAGCGGGCTGCCGAGTAGACTCCATGATTAAACACTGTCATTATAACAAATTGAATAGAAGCCACAAGCCCTGAATTGCTTCATAAGAAGGGGACAGGAAGGAGAGTTCTGATCTCGCTGCTAATATTCAATACACCCAGATTCCAAGGGTTGTGTCTTAATTAAATTGTCATGAAGCACTGTGGAAAAAAAAAAAGTAGCAGATGTAAGACAGTGAAGTGAGCAGGCAGAAGGCCGTCTTGGGGTCACCCATCCTGAAGTTTCCTGTCCACCACATGACATCTATAGTCCAGAAGCAGGGCCTGCTTTCTAATGCTTCACTTTTCTCTGTGACCATTTGTTATTAATGTGAAAAACTATGCAATGGAGAGCTAACAAGAAGAAAAGGAAAATGGACTAGACCTGCTTCTTTCCCAGAAGTCACTTCCTGTGTAATAGGTACACTTGAACTGCTTTTTCTCTTATCCCTATATCAAAGAGGTAGTTATCTGAACAAATCTCACAGTGCAGATGAAAATGTAATTGCTCGATTTCTCTACCTAAGCAAACTGCTGTGGAGGGCTGTGTTTCACGTCCTATTGACGACTAGAATTTTTCACTTATTTTTAAAAGTTTTCTACAAGTGTAGATTATATTGTGAGTATCATCTCCATCATACCTCCTTCCCTCCCTTTCCTCATCTCACCCTCTCTAATTATTCCCCTTTGTTCAGCTAGACACTTTCTGTTCCTTTCATGTCATCTGCACATGCATGATTTTATGTATCTTTATAAAATCTAGAAACCACAAATGAGAGAAAACATATAGTATTTGTCTTTCTAAGACTGGTTTAATCAGGTTAACATGATCCTCTCCATTTGCATCCATTTTCCTGTAAACAACATACCTTCATTCTTCTTTCTGACTGAAAAAACTCTTCTGTGTATATAGAGCATATTTCCCTTGCCCATTTGTCTATTGTGGGACACCTAGGTGGTATCCATACCTTAGCTATTGTGAATAATCCCGCAGCAAACATGAATGTGCAAACATTTGTCTTGGAATTCTTTGGGTAAATACTCAGAAGTGATACAGCTGGGTCATATGGAAGATTTAATGTTAGGTTTTGAGGACTCTCCATACTGACTTCCATAACAGTTGTATTAGTCCACATTCATACCAACAGTGTGTAAAGGTTCCCTTTTGTGCACATCCTCACCAGTGTTTATTTGTTTTCTTAATGACTGCCATTCTAACTGGGGTAAGACGGAATTTCAATATGGTTTTGATTTGCATTTCTCTGATACCTAGCGAGGTTGAACATGTTTTTCATGTTTGTTGTTGATGCTGAAGGACCCTTATAGCAAATCTCCCTTCTGGAATGATGGAGGAAGGCACTCAGTGGGTTAATCACTACTGTGGGCAACAGAGGAACTTTCTTTAGTCATTCTCTGCTAATTACTCTCACTACTGAAAGTATGCTTCGTGGACTGCCATCATCAGAATCATCCAGAAGCAAGTCAGAAACCAGAAATGAAGTAGCATAGAACCAACCCCACACCTGCCTACTGGCCAGCTGCACAAAGCTCAGTCAATGTAGGTGCACCATCTCACCTGAAATTTTCCCGAAGAGTACCCAGTGTGGATTGATGATACACCATTAAAATTTGAAAGGCACTATCCTAATAGATTTCCAAATCCTCAAGCAAAGTTTCCTAGACCTTGTTATTCAAAATTACCTTAATAGACATTCTAAGAAAAGAAGAGTAAGATTTTCCATTTGACCCAGCTACACCACTCCTGGCTTACTCAAAGGACTCTAAGCCAATATACCACATAGATACCTTCACTTTCATGTTTACTGAAGCACTATCCACAATTATTAAGCTATGGAACTGACTTAGATAGATGTCCAACAACAGTGAATGGGTAAAGGAAATGTGGTATATATATTCATGGAAACTATTTTATCCATAAAGAAGAACTAAGTCTTGTCATATACAGAAAATGCATATAGAGATAATTATATTAAGAGAATCAAGCCAGTCTCAGAAAGATACATATCACGTTTCCTCTAATTTGTGCTTCTTAGATTTTATACAGATACATAAAATAGTATACATGCATGTATGTGTATAGATTTTATATATAGATGTATATATATAAAACAAAGCTGAATTAAAACTCTCTAGGGGGACAAAGTGCGCTAACAGGAGTAAGAAGGAACTAGAAAAAAGGGTGGGGTTCATGAGACGGAATATACTCAACATACAATACATACACATACAAAAGCTTTAAAAAAGTAACAAAAGAAAATAAAGATCCTCTGCTCAATGATGTTTGGGAAAGGCTAAAAATTCATATCCTTTCTATGGAAACTAATGCCATTAGCTCAGTGAAGGATCTAGAATGTTCTCTGTAGTCATTACTTTCTCAGTGCTGACAAATGCAACTTAAGGGAGAAATGACTTATTTTGGCTTAAAGTTCAAGGATAATAGCTCATCGTGGTGGAAAAGATACGGAAGCATGCAGAGACGGCAGAAGCAAGAGTCTGATGGTCACATTTCATTCATATTCAGGAAGTAGAGAAAATGAATAGAAAGTAGGGCCAGGCTATATAGTCTCAATGCCCCAGTGACCACTTCCTCTAGTGAAGCTCCACCTCCTAAAGATTCCACAACTGTCCCAAACAGTGCCACCTGCCCATAACCAAGAGTTCAAATATAGGAGCCAATGGGGCATATGTCACAGTCAAACCACAACAGCCTCCAAAATGTGTTCAGTATTTGTTGAATAGCATTTGACCATTTGAAGGCTAACCTCAGTGTTTTCACGATGGTTTGCTTGCTGAACCTTTTCTAATAGGAAAAGTCTCAACCTGTTTTTAAAGACACCAGGACCCAAGGAACTTTGCCTCAGAGTCTCCTCTGTAGATAAGTATATATAGTTAAGAAGATATTCAGGCAATGCAGACTCAGGGTCCAGAAGGGCAGGAGACCCAACTTCCCCTGTATTCAGATCTTTATATTATTTCTGAACATTTCCTTCTTCCCTAAACTTGACACAGGTTAATGAAAGCCTGTTTGTAATTTAATATACCTTTCTTCATTTAGGAAAAAACAGTTTCCAAAAGCAGAACGGGGCAGAGTCTAGGCCTCAGACACACCCATCATTCGAATATGCTGAAGACACAGCGGCAAGAGAGCCCCTTCCAAGATGGAGGGGTGAAGATGCTGCTACTGAGACCCAGGTAGGGAGGTGCCATCCACCTGTTGGTCCTAATCATGAAACATAAGCTCTTTGAACCCTGAAGTAATCGATTTAATTTTTAATCAAGTCATGCATTGGTTTTTCTAGTCTGTATTAGTTACTTTCGTCATCTCTGTGAGAAAATACTGACAGAAATAATATGAGGAAAAACAGATTTATTTTGGCTGACAGTATCAGGAGATTTTAGTTCATGGTGGTGGGGAGGGCATGATGAAGTGATCCCTATTCACGGCACCAGGAGTTTACAGTTGCCACTTCTTGGAACAGTAGACTTTTATCAGAAAGAGCTAGACTGGGACCCAAGGCTAGGCTACATCTTCAAATATCTCGCCCCCAATGACCCACCTCCACCAGCCAGGTTCCACCTTCAAAACACTCCATAGATTCCTGCAGTTTCATTTCTTTAGATGTGACAAATACCCTAACAAAAAGGAACTTAGAGAAGAAAGGCTGGTTCAACTTACAAGTCCAGGGTACAGTCTGTTATTACAGAGAAGTCAAGGCAGGAGCCTAAGCATCACATCTACAGTCATGAACAGAGAGAATAAATACCTGGATCCTTGCTTGTTCTCTCCTGTCTTATAATGTCCAGGACTCCCTGTCCAGGGAGGAGTGGCTGTCATACAGTGAGCTGAGTCTTCTCATATCCATGAACAATAAAGACAATGCTCCACAAACATGCCCACAAGCCAACCTGATCTAGATATTCCTCGTGGAGGATCTCCCAAATGATTCTGGGTTGTCTCAACTTGACAGTTAAACTCATCAACATACCTCCCAAAACACCAATTGAGGAGCAAGTTCAAACCCATGATCCTATAGGAGACAGCCTACATTCGGCTAATAACAGAGTAGGAACCAACATCCAAAGCTCAAGTTCTCTCTGGAATTATTATTAAGGGACATCCTGGCTTCTCGGAACACATTCTGAGAAATTGGGGTCTGAATGGTCTCCCCAGATTCACAACTGTACATCATCAAGCATTTCCTCTCCCAGTCCATAGGGAGACATTAGAATGATTCTCCTTTGTTGTTATCTTAGCTGTGGCTTTGACCTACACCTACAGGAAAAGCAGGTGTAATTCTATTTGAGAACACCACTAAAGATACTCCAAATCAAAGAACAGAAAACTAGTCCAGAATCAAAAGTTGGTAGTAATACTCAGAGTGTTTGTGTGATTCCACAAAAGTAAAATTAAAATTCTAAGTGTTAACCCAGAGAGGTCCTGCCCCCCTACATGTAATAGTCAGGAATTTTTCACAATGCACATGCCTCTAGGGTTCCCATCCTCCTCATCTTGCCTTATTTTCCCCCACTGGAAATCCTGCCTTAGCGTGTAAGAATCACCACAGTGGCTTCGAACTGTACCTCACTGATGGCCTGGTAGGGAAGTTAGGAACAAGAATTAGTTTTGTTCTTGGTACCTCTTTCTATGTTTGCTTCATTTAGCTGTTGAACTCAGAAAATGTTCCTGGGGTCTTGTTGGATCTCTGGACACGGGGTTACCTGGGAACTCTGGTCAGTAGATATGGTATCCTTCATAAACATGATTCCTGCAAGATGGCTAGAATCTCCAGTACATCTAGAACTTTTCATACTCCATGGCACAGAACTAACATCCAATAATACTTGGTATTGAATGAGCAGATGAATGAGTAGATGAAAGAAGGAATAAAGGAAAAGAATGGCCACTTGATACTTAGACATAAGCCAAGGGGGTTCACATCCTAAAGTGTGTTTGTGTAATTCCCAACCATATGACACTTTTCCAAAGATACTTTAGGGATCCATCCTTCGTGTCTATACCAGAACTGTCTGAGATAGATAGGGAACAATGAGATCTAATGCAGTAGTCTACAAACACAAAAGAGGGCTCCTAGTATTCCTGACACAACCCACAAGAGCAACAATCCTCAATCTAGTCTTTATAGGATTCCTCTTGTGTTTCCCTGCCAGCAACTACTGAACACGGTGCTGTCACCAGGTGACATCCTGGGGGTCAAGCTATGAGTGTTGTGAGCAAGAAGGGAAACTGAGTACCTCCACCCATGGACTACCCAGAGGTTAGAAGACTATAGAGTCAGAAATTGCTTACTTCCTAAAGGCTACTTCCCATTAGGGGACTGAGAGAACGTTATAAATGAGGCAAATATTTATTCTTTTGTTCCCAAGTTTCCATGTGATTCAAGCTTAGGTGCTGCTTTTCTGGTGACTTGTAAGAAGCAGGGGGAAAAGTGTCGGGATTCAGATTGATGGGATATTCTTAGATGTTCTAAAACTGAAGCACACAGGGTTGCTACATGATATATTTCCCAAATGCAATATATCAGCCTTGTTTGAAAAAAAAGGAAAATTATGATTTCATCAAGTAATTTCTAAATTAGTATATGAGAAAAAGTTGATTAGTAGGAAAACCATAATCCTCCATTGCATCATTAACATATTTCAAACAACCTAGGGTAGATTTGAAGAAAGAGACAGCAGATCATATTTGTGTTAAAGGTTCATCTCCTATCTTATATGTAGAAATGAGTGCTGTGTATGTGTACACACACACACACACACACACACTTTGAGACAGGTCTCATGTATCCCAGACTACTCTTGAACTCACTATGTTGTTGAAGATGACTTTTATTTTCCTGCCTCTACCTCCTGAATACTGAGACTGCAGATGTACACCACCACACCTGGTTTATGTGGTGCTGGGGATTGAACCTAGAGCTTCATGCATGCTAATCAAGCACTGTACAACTTACCTACAACTATACCTCTGAATATGCATATTTTAAAATTCCAAGAGATGATGATTTTTCTATAGTGAATTCTGCTTCAACAGGAAAGCTTAGCTGGAAGGTTGAACATCACAAGCAAACTGCTTATAGTGGCTCAGGTAATGAACTTGACCACATTCTCAGCCCACTGGCTTGCTTCTTTGCATCACCCCAAATGCCTACTCCCCAGAACTCTGTCTCTGGGCTCATAAAACACGAAAGTAAATACACATCTTTTATTTCAAGGTTGGTTTCTTTGGCTTGACTGAAAAATGTTTTAGAGGCCCCTTGTTAGCAGAGTCTGCCCACAGACACAGGATTTAGGAGCTGAGTAGGTGGCCCAGGGGGGTGAGGGAGCAGAGAAGTCATTTCATGACTTTGTTTCCATGGAGCTACCCACTCTAATTTGCCAAGCTGGAAAGAACAAATACTCTTTCCGCAGGTCTACAGGCAGGGCCTTGGGCCTTAGAGAAGGCCTGTACAGGGAAGGAGAAAGAAGACAAACCAAACTAAGGGGAAGGCCATATAATAGCAGCACTAAAGCCTAGTTCGTGGGTACAAAAAAACAGGGGAGGAGAGTCTTAACCCTGGCTGGACCCTCTAGAACTGGTTAAAAGCAAAGTAATGCACTATTATACCATCAGTAGCTGTGATAAAACAGGCACAAGATTGGGCCTGCCAACATTGCATCATGGAGAGGGGAGGAGCTCATGAGGTACCAATCCTCTCTGAGAATCTATAGTAAGTTAATGGTTACTGGGGGAGGAAGAAACATTTTCTTCAGTGGTGGAGCCACTGGTAAGGTGCCCATGTTCCAGTAAAGAACCCCTCCTCCATGCTCTTGTGAGTAACCCCCTCTCCATGCTCCTGAAGATAACCCCTCCCCATGCCTCTGGAGGTAACCACTCTCTGTGCTCCTGGAGGGAGCCCCTCATCATACTCCTGTGAGTAACCCCTCTCCATATTCCTGTGAGTAACACCTCCCCATGCTCCTGGAGGTAACCCCTTGCCATGCTCCTGGAGGTAGCCCCTCGCCCATGCTCTTGGAGGTAACCCCTACCCGTTTCCTGTAGGTAATCCCTCAGTCATGTTTCTCTATGTAACCCCTCACTCAGACTCATGTAAGAAACCCAATGGGTAGTCCAAAAAAGGCATGCTAGTAGAAGGGCTGGGAAGAAGAAAGGGATCATTAGAAATGGAGGGGGACAAGAGAGGGTAAGGGGTTGAATATAATCAAAATATATCCACATTTGAAAATGCCATAATGAAACCCATATAACTAGCATATGCTAATTTAAAAAGCAGAATAATCTGCAGATGTGCTCCTGGGTCATCCACCTGCCTACTACTCACCTCATCAACTTTTGGGCTAGTCAAATTTCTACCACTGTAGTAAAATACCTGAGATGGGAGACAGACATGGAAGCACACACCTGCAATCCCAGCCACTATAGAGATTGGTATGGGGAGGAGAGGGAAGGATCATCAGTTTGAACCCAGCCACAGCACAATAATAAGACCCTCTCTCAAAACTGGGTTTGGGGGCTGAGACATAACTCAGTAGTGGAGCCCTTGTGTAGCATGTGGAAGTGCTGGGTGTTCTGTTCCCAAGATGAAAAGTCATCACCACCATCAGCTTCGACAGAGGAAAGGTTTTAGTCCACGATAAACTGACTCCTTTACTTTAGGCACTGTACAAAAGAAGTACACCATGGCACGGGGCACATGATAGGGAAGATTGCTGACCTCATGCCTGGGATGTGAAAGGAAGAGCAAGAAATGGGTCCCATTATCCTGCTACTTCAAGGCATGGCAGGATGGTGTCAAACCTCCCTTAGACTCCACCTCTTTTATGTTTCCACCAGCTCCCAGAATCTCCCAACTGAGAACCAGGCCTTTACCATGTGGGCATTTGGGAGGCAATCTATATCCAACTTATAGCACCAACCATGCCAGCTTGTAAAAAACAACAACAACAAAAAAAAAAAACCAGTCTGAGTCTTGGCTCCTCCTTGTCTCACCCCATTCTGGGTATTCTAAATGCCTGTGAGCTTCCTTCACACATACATATCAGATCTGCCTCTTCACTTCTCTGTCCCTGGCATAGTCCAGGTCCTCAGCTGGTTTTCATGGCCCAGCTGTTTCCTGTCTGCCATCCCTGTTCTCCCAGTCATTCCACTACCAGTTCATCACGTACATTGCCAC